GGTGGTAGCACTGCTGAAAAGGATCTGGAGGTTCTCGTGGATGACAAATTGAATAGAAGTGAACAATGTGATTCAGTTGAGAAGGCTGATATCATCCGGGGGTGTTGTGATGGCGTATACAAACCCCACACTGGGCAACCAGGAGTTAAGGACATTCCACACCTGTAGGAAATGCCCCAACTGGAGGAGGAGTTAAAGGGCAAGGGAGCAGCTCGTTTGGTGACAGAGCAGGGAAGAGAGTAGACCTGCGATCTGCAGCTCCAGCAGAGGAGAGCTGAGATGAGGAAAAGACAGAATCTTTCCCCACAACAACGGCTCAAAGGTCCCTCGCTGAGGGAAGGGAGGACCTGTTACAGAGACAGCCTGGGAGGGGAGTATCCCCCTCTCCCATGGACTCTGAGTTTTGCTAATTCCCCTGCACTTGCTTGGACAGCCGTAGAAGGGGAAGACCCTAGGGCTGATCTGGCCCACGAGGGGGCCATACCACAGGAGGAGGCAGTTGCTAACCCAAGAGAGGAAGAGAGCTACCCCCTGCACGCAGCTGCCAGAAGGTCCCTACCTTGGGACAATAGTGGGGGTGGGGTGGTAGGAAGTGGCCTGGGGGGGGGCAGCCTTAAGCAGCTGTGGCTGTGAGACCACTCAAAGGGTCCTGGGTCGGAGCCTGGTGGAGGGGGAGGGCCTGGGATCCCCTGCCAACAAACTCCCTGCAAGTCATGGGCCTAAACCCTGACCACTAGGGGACGCTCCCTACCGACCAACCCCCGAGCGAGGACTGTCACAGGTGTGTTAACAGGAGTGCGGTGTGTAAGACACAGGAGGACAATGTCCTGCTCTGCTCGGCACTGGCAAGGCCTCAGCTGGAGTTCTGTGTCCCGGCCTGGAGACACACTTTCAGAAAGACGTGGATAAGATGGAGAGAGTCCAGAGGAGAGCAACAGAAATGATCAAAGGTTTGACCTCTGGAGGCCCCTTCCAGCCCTACATTTCTATGATTCTCTGAGAGCTGAGGGCCCACAGAGCGAAGGGAAGACCGAGCTCCTGACAGATGGGGGTCGGAGGGATTAGCAGTATGTGGAGTAACTGCAGAGACTTGTGGGGCTAAGTAAGGAAGAGGTGCCGGGGGAGAGAAATAGTTTATGGTCCCAGGAGTTTTCTTTGGAGGGCAAAGGAGGGAAGGTTTTGGATTATCAAAATCAGAGGGCTCAAGTTGACGAAGAGGTGCCATTTTGAGCCCAATGAAAAGAGATGGACGTGACTCCTTGGGGACGTTTTCCCCACATTCTGTTCCCTGGGTAGGATGGGACCCCGCACGCAGTGGGGAAAGTCACTCCCTAGGCAGCAGCAGGAGATGGGGGCGGGTTTAGCTCCCAGCCTGTCTCTCACACTCAGCCCCAGTGGGTCCCAGGGATTCTCGCTGCACTCAGAGCCGGGGGGAGCAGGAAGCCGCCTCACCCCTCGAGCAGGTGCTGAACCGCTGGCTGGGGTCTGAATTAATGGGTCGGTGGGGAAGGGGCTCTGGGGACCCAGCTGTGAGGGCTGCTCCCCCATGGTGGGGCTGGAGGCCCCTGAGTGAAATGAATTCACTTCCCATTGACGGCAAACAGCACCTGGGGGCTCCAGCTCCGAGGGCCAGGCAGGGACTCACCTTCCAGCGAGGGGTTAAAGATCAGGCAGCCGAGGAGGCAGAGGCTGAAGTAGGTGACTGGCCCCATCTTCTCGCTTCCCCTGGGGAGAAAACACACCAGGGAGATGGTGACATGAGAGCCTGAGACTTCCTACAGAACGACCCGCCCCCATCCCTCACGGGGCATTTCAGTACTTCAGAGCTGGGGCTGTTTGCTAAAGGGATGGGCTGGGCTGGAAGGGCCCCGAGAGGGATCCTGTCCCCCAGCCCTGGGGCACTGACCTCAGAGCCCATCTCCCTGGGTCCGAAGGGCCCTTCCTCTTCCACCCCTCACTGAGCCGTGCCCCAGGGACAGAACTGGTCACCCAGCAGGGAGCCAGGTCCCAGCTCCTCAGTGGCTGGGCTCTGCAAGCTGTATCTCCAGGGACTCCCCAAACCAGGGCTGCAGGTGGGGAGAAGGGGGGGGGTCAGGAGGGAGGCCATGGTCACTCAGACGGGACCTGGTTCCAGGCAACAGGGTCCCATTTGCAGAGCAGAGCGGTTCTCAGAAGGGGCATTTGCCATCTCCCCCTTTCCCTGTCTCCCCCAGTGCTGGGGCTGGCAATTCTCCATGGTAGGCACCTACATGGATCTTGGAGGGAGGGCACAGGAGGCAGGAGGGGAGGGTTTGGAAGAGCACCAGGATGGAGGCCAGTCTGTGTGCACGTGGCTCACAGACAACTGGTGCCTCCCCCTACGGGGGAGCACAGGCTAAACGGGAGGACATGTGACTGCCCCACATGTCTCCTCCACACCCTGCCCCCAGCTAAGGGCCCCTGCGCTCTCCCCACCCCCTCCCTGCCCCTTGTTACCTGTGGGGGGTGGTAGGGTTGCCACTTTTGGTTGGATGTATTCCTGGAGATTTCATCACATGACATAATCATTAATTAAAGATTAATCTTTAATTCCTGGAGACTCCAGGCCAATCCGGGATGGTTGGCAACCCTACAGGGGCTCTATCCTGCCGCTGCACCGGCTCCTCCCCGGCATGTCTGGCCGCTCTCCCTGGCAGCCGTGCCCAGGCAGGAAGTGGGCTGGAGCTGCTCCCAGTTGCTGCTCTGGGCAGCGTCGCCAGCGGCCTGGGAGAGAACCTGGCTGGGGAGGGGCAGCAGCAGCATCTAGCTTCCTGCCTGCGCTGGGCTGCTGGGGACAGGGGCCAAGCATGCCGGGCGGGGTGGGGGCGGTTCCGGGTCACTTGGCCGCTGTCCCCGGCAGCCCAGCCTGGCCTGGAGGGAGCCCATCACTGCCGCAGCCTGGTGCTCTCCCAGGCCGCTGCTGCAGTGGGCAGCGTCCTAGCGGCCGGAAGAGGCTCTTATCCTGCCCCCTTTCTGCTTCCCACTCGGGCCGGCTGCTGGGGGGCACTTGGGGTCAGACCCCAGCGGGTACAGTCTGGTGTGGGGCTATTGGAGTCCTTGGGGTCAGACCCCCAGCGGGGGGCGTTGCTCAGAGCTCTGCTGGAGTCACCGGGGCTAGAACCCCAGCGGGTGTGAACTGGCCAGAGCCCCACGGGAGTCAATGGAGTCACACCAGCTGGGGCCTGGCCCCCATCAGTGCAGGGTAAAATGGCAACTTTCCCCATTCCCGGCCCTCAAGCCCGGGGAGCACTCGGCCCATCACGCGCCCTGTGCTTGGCTCGTCAGCGCCCTGACCTGGGTGTTGTCATTTACACCTGTGCAACGAGACTGGGAAATGCACCATCCTCCCTGGGCGGCGATTAACACCCACACCTCTACCCCGATATAACGCGGTCCTCGGGAGACAAAAAATCTCACCGCGTTATAGGTGAGAAAGCGTTATATCGAACTTTCTTCGGCCCCCCCGTTCCTTGTTCCCTGACCGCCCTCTCCAGAGACCCCTGTCCCTAATCACCCCCAGGACGCCATCGCATACCCAACCCCCCTGCTCCCTGTCCCCTCTCTGCTCCGACCCCTATCCACACCCCCGCCCCCTGACAGGCACTCACTGGCAGTAGCGGAAAGCAGAGGAATGTGGCCCCAGCCCGCTCCACTCCGCCACCTCGCTCCGCTTCCCGCCACCAGTGAGTGCGGGGAGGTTGGGGAAAGGATGCCCCCCGTACTCACCGGCGGCGGGAAGCGGAGCGCTGCGGCTGGGAGCTGGCGGAGTAGAGCGGGCTGGGGCCGGGCTGCTCCGCTTCCACCAGTGCCAGTGAGTGCGGGTGAGGGATCCCTTCCCCCAAGCGACACGGCTGGGGCTGGGGTGAGGGAAGCGGAGCGGGCTGCTCCTGGCCCCCCGCTAATCCCCCAGGCCACTCTGGGACTGCGGGGCCCCCAATATTGCCCCCCCAACAGCTCCTGCCTCCTAGATCCTTGGGGGGGACCCCATGAATGCCCCCGAGACCCTTTGCACCTTATCCAACCCCTTGGCCCCGGCCCGGCACCCTTAACACGCTGCTCAGAGCAGCGTGTCGGAGCTTTGCCGCATCGTATGTGAACCCGCATTATATCGGGGTAGAAGTGTACTGGGCACTGGTGATGTATGGTTACCAACCCTCCAGGATTGGCCTGGAGTCTCTCAAGCCCACGAAGATTGGACTATAACTTGGGGGTGCTGCCTGTGGCCGAGGTATTGGGCCTGTTCTGGGCTGCCCATGCTCCCTCCTGTCTGTCTCTCTGCTGCATTTCAAGGGAGCCCATTGCCCTGGTATGTAGGTGCTGACCGTGGCCCAATGAAAGCGGTGTCAGACTTGCCCCCAAAGTGACTCTGATCTCACCTGTCTGTGGCTTGGCTGCTTGTATCTGGGGCTAGTGAGACTGTTTAAAGGCCGGGCACAGCACAGACCCTCTGAATTCATAGAATATCAGGGTTGGAAGAGACTTCAAGAGATCATCTAGTCCAATCCCCTGCTCAAAGCAGGACCAACACCCATGCAGATTTTTACCCCAGTTCCCTAAATGTCCCCCTCAAGGATTGAACTCACAACCCTAGGTTTAGCAGGCCGATGCTCAAACCACTGAGCAATCCCTGCCCCCATGGCACGACACCTGGTTGTTGTTAGTAACTACCGGTGTGGTGCTCGGCTCTTGTTTGATGAGTCGGCTGCGTGTGTTTCCTTTGTGTGCTGCCCCAGCTCTGCGCGGATCGCTGACACAGCAGACCCCGAGAGAACCCCCAAAGACCACAGACTCTAGTAAGGTACGAAGGAACTGAGCCAGGTTTATTGTCAAATGGAGCACAGTAATAGTTTCCTATAGACTTGGCAGGACATACTACGAAATTGTGCCCCCGGCAATGGACCGGCTCACTCAGTGGCGGGATACTCCACTGCCCCCTAGGCCGGACAAAGATGCGCACTCCGGGACCTACATTTATACAGTTACAGGGCAGATTACTCATCCCTACTGACGTATTGAGGTCCAGCCCCTTGACTTATTGGGGGCTGTCTCCTCCTTTGATTATGTTGTTTCTATCCATTATGCTGTCCTTTTGACCCTGTCTTTAAGATGCACCTGCTTCTAGCAGCCCTCTTCTCGCCAACTTCTGTGAGTGGGGCCTGCCTCTGGCTCAGAGCCCAGCAATGCCTGGAAGTACTTTGGTTCAGGCTTCAGGCCTCAGACTGGGCCTCTGACACAAGAGATTATGTTTCAGGGCCTCATCTTACTACACTGGTAACTTCACTCATCTCATTTCCAAGCCCCAGCTGATTCCTACTGTGAATTTTATGCATAGATTGCAAGGCCAGGACAGACCATTGTGATCATCTGGTCTGACCCCCTCCCGCCCCCCCGTAAAACACAGGCCAGAGACCTGCCCCACAATAGTGCCTACAGCAGAGCTTTTGAAAAACATCCAGTGTTGATTTTAATATTGCCCCTGGTGGAGAATCCACCACGACCCTGGGGAAGTTGTTCCAGTTACTCTCACTGGGAAAAATGTCTGCCTCATTTCCAGTCTGAATTTGTCTAGCTTCAGCTCCCAGCCATTGGACCGTGTTACACCTTTGCCTGCTAGATTGGGGAGCCCATTGCTAAATATCTGTCCCCATGTAGGTATTTATAGACTGGAATCAAGTCACCCCTTAACCTTTTCTTTGCTGAGCTGAACAGATTGAGCTCCCTGCGTTTGTCACTCTAAGGCAGGTTTTCTAATCCTTTAATCCTTCTCATGGCTCTTCTCTGACCCCTCTCAAATGATCAACATCCTTCTTGAACCGTGGGCACCAGACCTGGTCACAGGATTGCACCAGCAGTCACACCACTGCCAAACACAGACGTAGAATAACCTCGCTGCTCCTACTTGCTCCTACTGCTCCTCACTGCTGCCCTGTTTTTGTATCCCAGGTTTGCATTAGCCCGTTTGGCCACAGCATTGCACTGGGAGCTCATGTTCAGCCGGTTACCCACCCCCACCCCCAAATCTTTTACAGAGTCCCTGCTTCCCAGAGGCCCCTATCCTGTAAATCTGGCCTGCCTTCTGTGTTCCTAGATGTCGGCATTTACATTTAGCCATACTGAGATGCATATTGTTTGCTGCACCCAGTTTACCAGGAGATCCAGATCGCTCTCTATCACTGACCTGCCCTCTCCATTATTAACCATTCCCCTAAACTTTGTGCCACCTGCAAACTGATCAGTGATGGATTTATGTTTCCTTCCAGGTCACTGATAACAATGTTAACTAGTGTAGGGCCAAGAACTGATCCCTGCAGGACCCCACTGGAAACAAACCCGCCCCTTGGTTGGAATGTTCCACCGGGGACACCCAGAGCTGTGGGCCCCTGTGTTACCCCACTGCCGCAGCAAGGGTGAGCTTAGCTGGAGATTAGACTGTTTGTCAGCTCCCTGCCACACCGGCCTGCTCCGCCAAGGGGGTTCCCCCGCCTCTTCTGCTGCCCAGCTCTGCCTTGGGGGGCTCCCCCCCCCACCATCAGCCCTCCCTGCTCCGTCGGGGTGGGGGCTGGAAGGGCTAATGAAACATCCCTGGGGTGGGGGAGGGCCAAAGGGAGATGAGGGTCAGGGGCCACCCTGCAGGGGGTGATGTGCCAGGCCTCACAAAGGGGGAGACATCTGGTTCAGTGCCAGCCAGGAGGGTGGGACCCTGGGCACCGCTCTCTGGGACAGGACGCTCAGCTCCGGTCCTTGTTGGGTGGAGGGCGGGGGGCAGAGCCGTGGGCAGTGGAGAGACGGGTAGACCCCGTCCCAGGGCCCAGGCAGCTCACACAGGGCAAGTCCGGCCACCAGGCCCCGTCCCAGGGATTGAGTGTCCCTGAGTGCCCAGCACCCAGTGCAGAGGGGAGAATGATGGGAGGGGGCCGGGACTCACCTGTCCGTCTGTCTCTCGTCTACAGTGGTGGGTCCAGAGCACTGGGATTGGAGTTCAGCCTGGGTCGGGCTCTGGGTCCCCGGGGGGTTTATAGCCCAGCAGGGGGGAGGGGCTGTGGGGGGAGGAAGAAGGAGGAGGATGAATTTGGAAATGGGACAGATGTGACAGTTCA